TTTGGTAATATATGCTAAATTTCTGTGAATGTCTAGTGGGTGTTTTCAGAACCATATTTTCAGTGTTTAGAGTTTAAAATCTATTAATTAGCTATATTTTAGATTAGGTATTTTATGTTAGTCCAGATCCTTACTTTTATTTACTTAATCTATCTTAGTTAGGAGATATTAATTAGTCTTCAGTCATGTTTCTATTCATTGTAGATTCCCTGTAGTTTCTACCTATTAACTTTGATGCTGTATTGTTTGTATTACGTATGTTCATAATTATTCAGTCTTCATTGTGAATATACTGGTTTTTCTGAGCTGGCCTTGAACTCATGGTGATCCTCCTGCCTGAGCCTTGCACGTGCTGGGATTACAGGCATGTGCTGCCATGCTTGGCTGAATGTACTTTATAAATATAAATTACCCTTTTTTGTAATTTTTAACATTTTGCTCTTAATTGACCTGTCCAATATTACTTCTTTTTAAGTGTTTGCATTTATTGGTGTGCCTTATTTTTAATGGTTGAACTTTGATTTGTGGTCTAGTGTGAAAGTTTTCTCTTTTTTTAATTGCCTGGATTTAGGCTCTTCACATTTACTGATTGGACAAATGGATTTAGTCATATAAAATGTGGTAGAACCAATGTACTTTATTTTATTTTATTTTTTATTTTTTTGGTTTTTCTCCGGTACCGGGAACCGAACTCACGACCTTGCGCTTGCCAGGCAGGCGCTTTTGCCGCTGAGCTAAATCCCCAGCCCATTTTATTTTAAACATTGATGTAGGCAATGTTTAAAATTAATTTCTTTGGTATGTTTTAAAATTTCATTTTAATTGTGTTTTTACTTAATCGAAAATGTTAATTTTTTTAGTTTGGATCTTGTGGGTAGTTTTATACCTATAATTTTATATAACAAATTTAACTCTATTTCTTTAGATAGCATTCCCCCCCCCCCGAGCAATAATAGAATTTTACTTTTGCTTTATCTCACTTTTCTTTTACTATTCAATTTTAGTTTACATTATTTTTTAGTTTAGTTTTTTTTCTTTTTTTGTCTTTTGTCTTTTTTGAGACAGGGTTTCACTATGCAGTTCGGGTTGGCCTTGAACTCACTTTGTAGTCCAGGCTAGCTCACAGCAATCCTCCTACCTCAGCCTCCTGAGTGCTGGGATTTACAAGCATGTACCACCATGCCCTCCCAATTTAGTGTTTCGTTTACACTCTTAAATACACTTAAATCTCTAATACTTTTAAAGGATTTTGTCTTACTTTTGTCTGTCTTTCTCATTTCTTTCCCCTTTTCCTTCAGTTTCTTTAATAGTTGGTAACATTTTCTGTAACTTTAATCTGGACAGTTGTGTTAAATGTATTCCTAGAGCGAAATGAATTTATTGCTTACTATCAGTACCTTTAGTATCATTTTCCCATTACTCTCTTATTTATAGTTGACCTTTAATAGTTTCCTGAAGAAGATTGAATGAGAATTATTTTCTGAATTACTGCATTTTAAAGTACCTGTCTGTTGCATTTATTTTTGTACAATAGTTTAGCTGGGTATAAAGTTCTTTGTTTTTACTTCCATTTTCTAAAGTTTTTGTATGTATTGCTCCTCAGGCTTTGAAGGTATTGATCCTTGAACTATTTCCAGCTTTCTTAAAAGGAATGTTTTCAGAAAGTCTGTATTTTTAGTAGCTAAAAGCCTGTAGGTTTCAGCTGGAATCCTAGTAAGCAAGTAGCGTGGGCTGTAAAAAGAAAAACGTTTGAAAGAAAGGACAGATGCCTTTCATCATCTGATAAGCCAACTGTTTGATTTTATTTCTTCTTCATTGTATATTAGTCAAAGTTCCTCTCTGAAGTTTTTCTTTTTTCATTTCTTAGCCACTCTACTAAATTCTTATAGTAGTAGTTCTTATTTGAATTTATATTGTAATTTTAAACTTGTAGACTTAATAATAAATATTTTGGAGGTTACTTGGTTCTGTTATAAGGAAGGAAAATTGTGGAATTATCTCTTTCCCCCCCCAGCAGATGGGCTGTTCTTTTCCTTGAGGAATTATGGGTGAATACCGTCTAAATTGCCATATCAGGCTTTTGTGATATTTTTTCTTTTTCTTTCTGTACTAGCAGTTGAACCCACAGCCTTTGTACTGAGTTATGTTCTGAGCCCTTTTTATTTTTTATTTTTGAGACAAGGTTTTGCTAAATCAATGTTTCTCATGCTGGGTGCAAATTTGGAATCCTCTTGCCTCAGCCTCCCAGAGGATTGAGATTACAGGCATGTGCCACCACTCAGCTGCTTTACGATATTTTCTTACATGCCAATATTATGTGACAGTTGATGGGGAATATGTAAAGCTAAGGAAAATACAAATTTGGGTGGTCTTTGGGTATGGACCTTTAAAAAATTGTGTTTAGATATGGTAGATGGCTTTTTCTTTGATCTTTATGGCCCTTAGGTTGTGGATGTTCCCTTTTAAGTCTCATCCATGGTGGAATAGATTTCTCACTGTACTGATAGCATTCTGGTATTTAAAGACTTGAGGAAATTTATCTTTATTAGTACATATTTGCTATACATAATGGTCACATTCATCATAGGGAATTTGTACATGTACCTAATGTGTCTTAAATCTTTTTTTCCCATTCCCCATTTCTTTCAACCCTTCTTCCCCTCCCCATTTACAAAAGCTTTGTCTCCATTTTTTTCCTTTCATTCTTTTTTTAAAGTCCCTTTCTCTTTCTTCTTCTTCCCCTCCCACTTCTCTTGTTCCCCTTCCCATTCTTTTTTTGTTTGTTTGTTTGTTTGTTTTTCGGTACCAGGAATTGAACTCATGACCTCCCGCTTGCCAGGCAGGTGCTGTGCCGCTGAGCTAAGTCTCCAGCCCCTCCTCTTCCTATTCTTGAAGAACATTTCTGACTGTGTCTAAATCATTCACTTGATCCACTTGGCTCTTGGGATTCTAGGCATGACTTTGGGTCTTTTAGGATGATGTGGTTCAAAGAAATTACGGCTGCAGGGCTGAGGAACTTGGCGGTGACTGTGCCCGCTATTTCTTGCCATTAAAGTGTCTCATTGCCCTGTGCATCAGGGTGGCAGCTCACAGAATATTATAATTGTTTGGTATGCACGCACGAGTCTCTGTTTGTGACAGATGGGAAAAGGAAAGGGCCATTCTGCGAGAGAGCAACTGAACCTTAGATTCTCGGGCCTTGGGGAAGGCTTTTCAGCTCATACTGTGTTTTGTAAGGTTTATCTGATGAAGTTCAGTCAGCAGTAATGGTGGTAGCGGTGTGTGCCATTATTGATCTTTTCTTCTGTGCCAAGGGCTATGTCAAATGCTTTTACATCCCTTCATTAATATTTTTATTAGAATGATATGGGAATTTTTATTATTATGCTGCTTTTCTGATAAGAAAACAGAGGCTTAGAGTTAAGTCACATAATAGTTAAATGAACGAGTCAGAATTTGAACCAGGACTCCCTGGCTCAAAAGGCTACCAGTGGTAGCAAACCTATGGCACATGTGCCCAGTGGGCTGTTCATTGAAAGTTCTATAAGGTTTGCCATCACTGGGTTAGACCCTAATGAACGTGTTACTGTCGATGGTGTTTGGTGTTGTACATCTTATGATACTAAACAAGAAGAAGGCACTACAGGCAGAGTAGAAATTCTCATTATACATTATTTAATACAGGTTAACTCGGTTTGAATAGTTAAAATAGACTCTCCCATCCTACCTGTACCTGCCATGTACTTTAGAGCGTTAGATTATGAAATGCGGAGGTCTGAAAGAGTGAATATTGTTTTTTCACAGATAATACCGTACATGGTTAAATGGGTTTTGCTTGAATTTCCTCTCGTCTTAGTGGGGAAAACTTTCAGGCCTTAAATGTCAAAATGGAAATCTTTATCCCAAAGAAAGTTGGCTCTGAGATAGGAACTATAATGAATGTTGGAGAATTATTGAAGATGGCATCACTCGTATTTCTCCCTGTTAACTAGGAAACGTGCTTGTATGTCATCTGTGCTCCAAAAAACAGCCCAACTAACATTGTCTTTGTTTTCCTGGATGGGGTAATGAGGCTAAATATTTGTTTATGTGGGTGTGATGGGCACTGCACTGTGGATTCCACTGTAGCTTTGTAAATGATGTACCATTACCTAAGCCTTACCAAGTATTTCTGCCTTCTGGACACAATAGTGGTCTCACAATAGAGACTTCTGTTATTTGCAATTACCCTCATAAAAATTTGAAAGCAAACCAAAAAAAGGTTTTTCCTTTCAAAAGAAGTTTTCGCTCTGCTTTGTGCTCCCCCATCTCAGTGGTATGAAGGCCGAGCCCCTGAAATCTGCTGCCAGCTGGTGCTGGGTTGTCGTCTTCTGCCCGGGCCGATGCACTGTCATCATACCATCACCTCGAAGCGGCAGCCCTGCTGGGCGGGCGAGCTAGGCTTTCTCCCTCAGTCTAGATGGCAGGGAAAATAGTCCTTTATCCCTTCCCTCTTGCCTGAGAGATGGGGTGAGGAAGTTGTTCCTTTCTGCCAGGCCCTTTGCTCAAGTCACACTCAGAAGACCTCTTTCCATAATTTTGTGGTCGATGCCTTAGCAACCCAGTCACTGCGAACAAAAGGAGCAGAGCTGTGCAAGTGAAGTGGCTGTGAAGATTTAGGACCCATAGTGAGACCCCGAGCACTGGGTCGAAGGGAAATTAACCCTGCACTATTTTGGAGAGTCTCATCTTGAAGACAATTAAACAGTCCAGACAGGTCACTGGGTGAGACCAATTTCCTGGTTTGTTTATTTGAGCCCAGTTATTTTTCACCACCGAGCAGCAGGGCAGTCTGCTACACTGCTGCTAGGCCTGCAGAGAGCAGTCCTTTTAGTTTTTATTTCTCCAGGCTTCCCTGAGGAGCCTGGCGTGTCATTATCTCTTTGGATTGCTCTGGAGTCTCTGTCCGGCATAGGGTGGAGGACAGCATCAGTAATTACTCTTGACTTCATCTTGCACAGGCTTTTGGCTTTATGTCCCGAGTTGCCCTACAAGCAGAGAAGATAAATCATCACCCTGAATGGTTCAATGTGTACAACAAGGTAACTAAATTGCCTTATTTTGGGATCTCTTTAATTATGAATTTTAAGAAACTTCTTTCTACTTTTCTTCCTTATCATCTTGTGTAGCCATATGTCCTTGTGTTTGAGAAAGCATTCTCTTTTTCTTTTAGAATCCCTGTGTATTACTGCAAATTAGTAACAAATTTCAAGTCTGCTCAAAAAAACAGTGAACAAGCTCTTTATTTTTCTAGTTGTCTTCTACTGAAGCTATATAAGAGACTTGGGCCAAATGATATTCCTAAGTTAAACTTGGCTGTCAGCCGTGTAGGTAAATTTTTATTTATATTTTTATTTTTGGGGGTACCGGGGATCGAACTCAGGACCTTGCACTTGCCAGGCAGGCACTTGAGCCACTGAGCTAAATCCCCAGCCCTAAATTTTAAAATTGAAAGTAATTTATTAAAAGAAATGGTAGATAAGATAGGTATACCCTTATTTAGCTCATTGAAATAAATTTTCTCAGGAACTATACATAATATCTGTTTATTAAATTCTGGATCCTTTTTTTTTTTTTTTTTTTTTTTTTTTGGTTTTTCTCCGGTACCGGGAACCGAACCCACGACCTTGCGCTTGCCAGGCAGGCGCTTTGCCGCTGAGCTAAATCCCCAGCCCCCAAATTCTGGATCCTTAAACAAAGGGCAGACTAAAAAGTTCTAAGGGACACAGTTAAAAGAATTATGTCCTCCTAAAAGTATTCCTGTCCTAATGATCAAGTCATTTGGAATTTCTTAACCATCCAGGTATCTCTGAAGGTTTTTCTCTTTGGAAGTTGTCTTTGAAAAAAAAAAGAATTTACCCATTCTTACAATTTTTGGAATAATTCAAAGCATCATAGTACTAGGACACTTTTCTTTCCTAGTTGCCTCTCTTTGCCCATAATTTTGCATTTGCTTTTTAATCAAAAATCAGTGTTGTACACAGTCTCCCCTGACCCCAGCCCTTTCCTAATTTGGAAATGTGCTTTTTTTTTTTTTAACAACCCTGCTAATATACTACATTTGATTGGTTTTTCTCGGTACCCTGAAAATAGTCAGTGTAATTAAAGTAATGGGAGTTCTCCCCCACCCCCAAGAAACAACATTTGAGATTCTGGTGGCTGAACTGTCTCATGATGAGAGAATCTTTCCATCCAGGACGGCTGCTGGGCCTGATGCACACTGTGCCCCGGGCATTCCCTGGGCTCTATTTATTCATAAAGTAGTATTTTCTAAATCTTCCCCAATTCTCAGATATGAGCAACAAACAATAGATTGATTTCTGAACTGCTCAAGGAGAATCCAATGAATTGAAACTCACAGTCTCACAATCTGCTTTCTTCTTCCTTAGGTCCAGATCACTCTCACATCACACGACCGTGGTGGGCTGACCAGAAGAGACGTGCAGCTGGCGAGGTTTATTGAAAAAGCATCCATTTTTGTGTGATTTCTTCCAAAATGAGTGTAACATCTTATACCTATCTTAGCTGCAATATATTCTGAACGCAACTTACATCAATAAGTTACACTGTAAATCAGTTAAACTTTATACATGTTGTATAATCAGTACTTAAATATAAAATGATTTAAACTTGAACCTGAGGTATTTTTCATTACATCGATATATTCCAACGTAAGAGAAACCAATGCCACTAATTATATTAATATTTTA